CTGGTCAGAGCAGTCAGTGGTGGTAGCTGGGCACCATCTAGTTGTACTGGACTCAGTCTGGTGGAGGCCGTGGTAGTTGTGGTCCATTAGTCCTTCGGACTAATCTTTTCTTTGTATCTTGTTTTCTTCATTCTCCCTTGCTCCCGAAGGGGTGAGACCAGTGAAGTATCTTAGATGGCTGCTCACAGGCTTTTAAGATCCCAGACGCTACTCACCAAAGTAGAATGTAGAACATTTTCTTTATAAACTGTGTTAATGCCAATTGAGCTAGATGTTCCCCGGGACCATGAAAACCAGCGTCTTGCCATCAAGTTGATTCTGACTCATGGGGACCCTTTGTATGTCAGAGTAGAACTGCTCCATCAGGTTTTCAATGGCTGATTTTTTGGAAGTAGATTGCCAGGCACCTCTGTGTGGACTTGAACCTCCAACCTTTCTGGTAGCTGCCAAGTGGGTTAACCATTTGTACCACCCAGTGACTCCCATTTACAGGTACAGGGGTTAGCATTTCAACACATGTTTGGGGGGACACAATTCAACCCATAACGGTATCTGTCGTAGGGATGGATGTAAATGTGGTGTGGATATTTCCTGCATGGAGCAGACGCAATTGCTTTTGCACTGCTGTTAAGGTACTTCTAGACATTGATTTTTCAGGTGTGGCCAAGACCACCTGCATCTTCATCCCATAGGGGAGTTTATGTAGAAGATTCTAGAACTCCAACTTAAAATATCTGAGGGTGGGATCCAGAAATTGACATTTTTATTGTGTGCCCACCCAGATGCTTCTTATGCAAGAAGTTTGAAAATCTTTGGTTTGACTCTTAAAGTACCTGGCAGTGGTATGGATTTCTGTCCTATCTTGGCAAGTTGACTGAACCTTCCCTGGATTCAAAGCAAATGTATAATAATGCGACTTCTTCTTTCCCCAACACCAATTGGTGGAGTGTTTTGTTGTGCATTCCCTTTTAGAAACAGAAAGACTCAAGGGCTGAAGGTTGTTTGGCATGGATTTTGGGAGGATGCTGAATCCAGAGAGACAAGACCATGCCTGCGGCAAATGTGACGGACTGTCACTGTTAGACAATTGTTTTAGGACGATCCAGCCACCCGGCCTGTGGCTGGCCATGAGGCAGCTGTAGAAGGCACCCTGGGCTTGGCCCTGAAGGATTTGGCCAGTGCTGAAATTCAGAAGTCAGTACTGCACACCAGTGACGTTGAACGACTCTTGAGACCTTCTCCCTTTCCTCCCCAACAGGTGTGCGTCTTGACCGAGTACGCGGAGGCCGCCAGAAATACAAGCGGCGGCTGGACTCAGAGAGCAGCCCGTATCTGAGCTTACAGATTTCTCCACCCGCTAAAAAGCCATGTGAGTGCCTGGAAAGTGCCTGCCCGTTGCCAACGCTTGCACCTGGAACATGTGGTGTCACTTGGGGAAATGCCACCTTCCTGATGCTGGGTGATGGGGTGCTGGATCTCGGGATGATGACATCAGTGTCTAGCCTTGGTGTGGGGTACTTCATGCTTCATTCAGAGCCATTCCATGCAGAACGTCACAGATGTGGCCCCAAATCAGGTGTGTGGTTCTAAGAGGCAATGGGCCTCATCCTTCAGAACAAGCCCCCCTCACCATCCACCCAAAGTTGCTCTGCAGGCTCCTCTCAGGAGAATTCACCAGGCCATTTCTCAACAGACCGAGTCACCTCCGCCAGCAACTCTGTGAAGTCAGAAAGGGGTCCTTACAGTCACGTGTGAACTTCATGGGGGTATAGGAACCCAACTTTTCTTCCATCTTAGGCTACACCCCTGACCCTTTCCTCTCTTCCTAGCATTTACCCTACCCTCTTTGTCGTTGCAGTGACCAAGATTGTCTCATACCTGCTGGTGGCAGAGCCAGACAAGCTCTACGCCATGCCTCCCCCTGGCATGCCTGAGGGGGATATCAAGGCCCTGACCATCCTCTGTGACCTGGCAGACAGGGAGCTCGTGGTCATCATTGGCTGGGCCAAGCACATCCCAGGTGAGTCATGTAGGACCAGGAACATAACCAGGGGCTCTCGGCCACTCTGCCCACTGCCTGACCAGTGTGCCTGGTTCTGATGAGTGGGAGCTTGGGGCTGGGAGGCCCGAGACATCTTGCTACACCCATTTGACTTTTCCTCTTCCTGTGGGGTTGGAGGGGAGAAGGTGTTTGGAAGATCTGGTAATGTGTATAAGTGCTGGGGACTCCTCAGAACCAGCTATCCTTCTAGAAGGGCCTATGATTGATCTAATTAAAAAAAAAAAGCAGTTGCCATTGACTCAGAATTGACTCAGTTTTGATGCACAGAAACTCCATGTGCATCAGAGTAAGCTTTTCAAAGCCTCAATTTTTCAGAAGTAGATCGCCAGGCCTCTCTTCCCAGGTGCCTCTGGGTGAACTCGAATCTCCAACCTTTCAGTTAGCAGCCAAGTGCATTAACCATTTGCAATACCCAGGGATTCTGATCTGGATGATCGGATCTACAATAAGTAGCATTCAAAGAGCAAATTCCTTGAATGGTTGGAGGCCAAGGAGTAGTATTTTCTTGTAGACCTTATTGGAATTATGTTGACATACAACTCAAAAGAGTGATCGACTCTCTTTCGTCATATTAGAGGCAAGTAAAGAGGAGCAGTTAGGAGCATGGGCTTTGGAGTCAGATCTGGATTCAAATTCTGAGTCTATAACTTACTAGTTGTGTGACCCTGGGCAGGTCACTTGACCTCTCTGTAAAACGGGAGTAACAGTCGTGCCTCCTTTGCGGGGTTTGATTTGAGGATGAAATGAGATTGTGTGTGGAGCGTTTGCCTGGCCTGTGCTAACACCATTTGCATGATCACTATTGCTACTTGCCTGATCTCTAAGGGAGGCCCGTCGCTTTATTTGGGATCTCAGATCTTAAGAGCATTTCTAGTACAGAAAGTGTGTATCATAGGTTTGAGGCAATACACACTTCTCCATGGGGACCCAAGCCTCTCTTTCAGCCTTTCTAGTTCTGTGTAAATGTTGTAAGCTTGTTATTTTTATTTTTGTGGACACTGACACCCACGTATTCTATGTTATCCACATTTTAGGAGCCTTTCTAAAGGCTGTGCCCTTAGCTCCTTTTACTTTACTCCTTCATTTACTCTTTCACTCCTTTAAGGTTCTCACAGCTTGGTTCCCAGAGTTGTAGACATCCTGTAACCCTTCCGGTGACGATCCACCATGGTCTTGGATTCTTAAGCTAGCTGTGTGGCATGGGACAACTTATCTTCCTGTCTGTCCATCTTTTGTTTTTGTTTACTTGTCATGGGCTCTGAAAGATGAATACAGCATGCGTGATCATGCAACAAAGGTGTCCTATAGGTTAGATGCCAAGGCCCATTGTTGATGGGGTGACACAGAAATAATTCCTTATGCATGAGACCCTGTGTGCATAACAGGACAGAGCCTCTGCGTGGAGAGGGACAGGAAGAGACCAGGTGGCAGGGTCTGCATGGTGCTGGCTGTAACTCAGCTGGCAGGAAGCCTGGAATTCCTTCTGCAGGGACTTCCCGGTGGCCCCTGGGCATCCTGACTGGGGAGGGGGGTCCTCAGGGACCTGGGCTGGTGTGCCCTTACTAAGGAGCTCAGCCTCCCGAGATTACACACTCAGTACTTTTTGAATCTGCCCAGTGCTGGTTCAGCACAGACGTGGGGTCAGGCCACTACTTAAGACACCTCAGCCTGGATTGCTCCACTGACCCAAGGCCAAATCAGGCACAGCTGCCCCTCCCCTGCCCACCCACCCGCTCTCACACACTGCTGTTCTGACTTAGTTCTGCAGCCTGGCAATGGCTCAGGAGCGGCTGCTGGCGGTCCTCCAGGTCACTGCTTCCTTCTCCCACCTTCCCTCCCCTGCAGCACCTCCAACGGAGCGGACAGGCACTGTCTCCCCTGCACCCATCCTTCCCTGTGCCTTCCCACCTCACAGCTGCATCTCCTGTCTGTGGTTTTCAAACCAAGAGGGCAGTGAGCGCGTAGAGTCAAGTGGTGGCTACGAGCACAGATTTTGGAATAGGCCGACCTGGCCTCTGATCCCAGTTCTACCCTTACTGGCCTTGTGCAAGCGACTTCATTTTCCTGAACTTCAGTGTCTTCATCTGTAAAATGGGAATAATAATAGAAAACCACCCCGCACCATTGTTGGGAGGGTATAGCACACCTAGCCCAGCCCCCACATATAGCGAATGCTTGATAAATGGCAGAGGCTGGTCCCATGGTGGGGGCTGATGCTAATAGTAAATAAAGGCCTCCTTTCACATCATCATTTCTCCTTGTCCAAAGCTGAATTCTTTTTGATTAGAAAATAAATATTGGGGTTCATTTGACGGTCTCAAGTGCTAATTTGCCTATTTTCCATAAATCTGCATTCTTTGGGCCTGACCTTCCAGTGTTTAAGGTAAAATTAATTAGTAGTCTCCTGCCACTGCATGTAAACCTCGTATTAAGGGCAGTGACACATCAACTGCCTGATATTTTTAAACAAATCAACTTAATCCCGTCTCAGATTAAATGGAAAACTCCTCTGAAGGCCTGTTCACTAGCCCTTTGGGACACAGAGAGGGAAAGAGAGAGAGAGGGAGAGAGCATGAGCGAACAGATTGGGTAAGAAGGAAGCAAGTGGGAGCCCCACGCTGGGACCTATGTTGGCTCTGGTCAGTCCTGGTTCCTGGAAAGACAAAAAGGACTGTCTACTTCTGACTGCTTAGGAACAGAACTCAGAGGAGGACCTCAGGCCACCATCCTGAAGCACAGGAGTACACCTCTCATGCCACAAGCATCACCCAGCCTCTAGCCCAGCGCCTGGCACATGAAGGCACCTCATACTTGGCCTTTGCACACCTTTACCGAGGTACTGTCCCAAGGAGCCAATTTGGGAATAAGATGGATAACTAACAACAAAAACTTTTTATTGTAGCAAATTTCAAACATGTACAAAAGTAGACAGAATAGTGTAGTAAATTCCCAGGTACTCATCACCATGCTTCAACAATTACCAGCCCACGGCCAATCTTGTTTCATCTCTGTTGTTAGTTGCCATCAAGTTGGCTCTGACTCGTGGCAACCTCATGTACAACAGAATGAAACATTGCCTGGTCCTACACCGTCTTCGTGATTGTCGGTAACCTCGAGCCCATTGTGTCCACGGCGCATTCTGAGTGCCTTCCAGCCTAGGTGGCTCATCTTCCAGCACTATATCTGACAGTATTCTGTTGTGATCCATAGGGTTTTCAATGGTCAACTTTTGGAAATAGATTACCAGGCCTTTCTTCCTAATCTGTCTTAGTCTGGAAGCTTTGCTGAAACCTGCCCACCATGGTGACCCTGTTGGTATTTGAAATACCAGTGGCATAGCTTCCAGTGTCATAGCAACACACAAGCCACCACAGTACAACATGCTTACAGATGGGTGGTGGGTTTCATCTGTCCCCACCCATTTGCCAACCTCATGTATCTCCGTACATAATAAGGCAGATACAGGGTGGCGTTCAGAGGCAGGAGGAGGAGAGAGCAGAACATGAGTTAGGCTTTCAGGACTGATGGACAGTGACCAGGTAGAAAAGTCCAGAAGGACATCAGGATGCTGTGAGCCTAAGTTTCCTTGCTGCTACTCAGAAGTGGACGTGTTCTTGTGGGCTCTGAGCTGACCAGCTTAGCCAGAAGCATGGACTGTTTGAACACAAATCCATTTCCCCTCTTTTTGGCCCATGGTTTTGAACACACAGGACACTTTTCACAAGGTGAGTTCCATGGGGAACTTGGGGCTAATATGATTCACTAAGAATAGCAGCCACTCTTGTGTTCCAGCCAGTCTGAGGTTGCCCTGCCCCTAACACAGGTTTTTTACCTTGAGTTGAATTTTCCAAATATTGGGTTATCCAGAGGGCAAGCCCAATCTTTAGAGTATCCAGTTCTCGTTCCCCAAGAACAGGAGATTAGAATGAGAGCCAGCAGCCTGTAATCGGCTATGGGTATCACTTGATGAATTTCAGGCTCCACACCTTATTAGCTCGTTATCCTCCTCCCAGGTGGCCCAGAGACAGCCCAGCCAGGAGAGCCCCTGAGAGTCACCATCACCCCTGCCAGGTCCAGCTGACATTTGCAGGAATTCTGCAGGGGACCCCCAAAGACCTCCTCACCAAGGGTCCCTCAGTAGGCCCTGCTCCCAGGTAGCCAGCGTCTGGCTCACGCTGGGAAGAGGGGAACGCCAGCAGCTGATGAAATATGGGCTGCCGAGTGACAGCAGCTGTGTCTGGAGTGGCCTCAGATCCTATAATTACATCTCCCTTTATTACCTCTGCTAATGGCCCTCCAGGTCGACAGAAACGATAATAAATTAACAGATTATGAACTCCACTTGCCACAAATTATGTGCCTTTTTTTTTTTTTTTTTTTTGAGTTCTAGGAGCTCATGCTGCCAAATCACTGGGGGATGGGCAGGCTTGGGAAGCGCCCGGTGTTATTAGATCAGCTGGTGCAGATAAAGCAACTTTACTGGGGCAGCAGAGCTCACGGTGGGAGATGGAGAGGAGCAGCCAGTTTGGCCGGGCCCAACAAGGCAGGGAAGCCCTGTGCTCCCAGGGGCACAGGCCACATCCTGGCCCCTCCCGGCAGCCCTCGGAGAGGGACCCCCTCTGTCCAGAATTGCTGATTACTTGATGGGGAAGGAGGCCTAGCCATCACAGCAAAACGGAAAGTGAAGGGTGCTTTACAAAAGGACAGGAGGAATGTTGGACATCTTTTGTTTTGGTTCTAAATAAAAGAATATATGCTCCTAGTAAAGATAACTGGAGTTCCTGAGTGGCCCAGATGGCTAATGCACTTACTGCTAACCAAAAGTTGGAGGTTCGAATCCACCCAGAGGCACCTCAGAAGAAAGGCCTGGCGATCTACTTCTGAAAAATCAGCCATTGAAAACCCTATGGAGCACAGTTCTAGTCTGACACACATGGGGCCACCATGCATTGGAGTCAGCTCGACGGCAGCTGGTTGGTTGGTTGGAGTAAAGATGTCAGATCATGGGGGCACAGGGACAGGTAACATTTCGTCCCATTGTACATGGGGTTCCTATAAGTCAGGGGCTGGCTTGACAGCAGCAAACAACAAGAACAAACATGTCAGATGTGACAGAAGGGTGGGAATTAAAGAGTTCCTAATCCCCCATCCACTCTCCCCAGAGGGAAACGTCATCTTAACTTCTTAGGTATTCTTCCGAGGGTTTGCTGTGCATGTGTAAACCTGTGTGTGTGTGTGTGTGTGTGTGTGTGTGTGTGTGTGTGTTTCTCCTTCCCACAGTGGGATTATACTGTAACACTGCTTATAAGCCTTTTTTTTTTCATTTCATTATGCAAAATAGTAGCACTTACCATGTGCTAAACTATGTTCTCAGTGCTTCACACATTTGATCCGCACAAACCCATAAGGTAAGTACTATTATTATTATCCCCATTTCACAGATGAGAAGACTGAGGCTGACTTGCCCAGGGTCATAGCCAGTGATCAGCAGAGCTAGGATTCTAACAGAGACCATCTGGCTCTGGCGTCTGTGCTCTGACCCACTCCATCTGCCTTCGGCTCTTGGTTATCTTTCCACATCAGCACAAACAGTTCTACCCCTTTATAGTGACTTCTGAGTGTGCCATTTGTCTAACTAATAATTACATTTAGGTTGTTTCCTGCTTTGGGTTATTACAGTGATCTAACAAATACCCTTTTATGTTTACCTTTGCGTATTTATACATACTTTTCTTTTTAGGAGAAATTCCTAGCAGTGGAATTGCTAGGTTGAAAGGAGCATGTGTTTTGTTTTATTTTTTATTTAATTATATTTTTCATTTAATTTTGTTCTTGGGTATCTTAAACATTGGCATGGTTCAAAAGCCAAAACTAGACAAAAATGTATTCACAAAAGCCTCACGTCCATCTCTGTCCCCTGCCCCTCCTGCCTCCTACAGTCAACAGTTTTTCTGTTTCTCATTTTTTCCTGCTAGTGTTTCTTTTTTCCAATATTAGAAAATACTTTAACTGTTTAAAATATTTGTTATTGTTGGATGCCATCCAGTCAACTCCAACTCATAGCAACCCCATGTGACAGAGTAGAACTGCCCCATAGAGCTTCCTAGGCTGTAATCTGTATGGGAGCAGATCGACAGGTCTTTCTCCTGCAGAGCCGCTGGATGGGTTCAAACCTCCAGCCTTTCAGTTAGCAGCTGAGTACTTAACCTTTGTGCCATCAGAGCTCCTTATTTACAATATTAGGAAATATCAAATATTTCCCCTTTTCTTGCACACAGTGAAGCAGACTGTATACACTAGTCAGGACTTTGGAGTGTGCATTCAGATTTTCAAAGCTGTGTCTAGCTCCTGTTGCAGATGCTCAAGTGGAAGAGATAAGTTGGAGCTGAGTCCACTACTTAGGCTGGCAGAGCAGTCTGGGCACAGGCCTCACAGTGCACCCTCTGATGGGGCACAGAACTTTCTACATCGCTGTCTCCTCCCTCCCACCACCTGTCCTTCCCTCCTCCCCAAAGGGTAGGGCTATGTCTATCTTACAGACACACACAGGCAAAAGCAGCTACATCTGAACTTGAACCCAAAGACTAAGAGAGTCTAACCAAGTTTCTTGGGCAAGTTTTCTTAGCTCCTGGGGACGAGGCCTGCTGGCATTTGCCCATTCTTTCCTCTGTGCTGCACAGGTTTATGGGGCACTTTTTTTGCACCAGGCACGGCATGGTGTCCATCATTCCTGGGAGCTCAAGGCATAGGAAGCAGTTCATTCCGATGCACTGCAGGCAGATGTACCCTCGTTACCTTCTGCAGAGCTCCAGCCCACCCTTCAGAGCTCAGCCCTGGGTCTCCTCCTCTGCAAAGCCACCCCAGCTCTCTTGTTTGGGCCGGATCCCCCTGTTGCGTGTTCTCTGATCCTTACCCTCGCTATAGCTCTTCTTATAGTCCTAACTTTATATCGACCTGTGATCCTTGGTGCAAATGGGGACACTTCCCCTCTTGACTATAAGCTCTTAAAGGCAAGGACTGTTCTGTTCCCAGTGCTTAGCACAGGGCCTGGCACGTACTAGGTGCTCAATAAATATTTGCAAGTGAATGCAGGGGCAGAAGCACGCCAGTAACAATCTTCTCATGATTGTACCTGTGTGATCACGCGCCTCCCACTGGTCTTTTCTCCTTCATTTTCAGAAGCCTAGCTCTTACCTTCACCCTCCTGTCAGCCACGTTCCAATTCAATTGTCTATTAATTTCTCCCCTGCCCACCTCCCACATCTTCCCTCCTAGTCAGTCTGCTTCAGACCTTCTAGTCCAGTCCAACACTTCCCTTCATACACACACTCTCGTGTGCTGGCTGATTGGTATCTCTTAATTAATGTCGCCCAAGGCCTCTCTCCTCCTCAGAGGCCTGATAAGGGAAATTGGATGTTGGATGTCCATGTCTATCTATCTCTTATTACCTCCCGGCTCCCCCGACCACACGGGCAGCCACACACCCTCTCCCATGTGTGGAATCAGAACGAGAACACACACGTACCCCTGACCCCTCTGTGCCACAGGCTCCCCCGTGATGGTGCATCCATCAAAGCTTACCCCGTGTTGGGCCAGTGTAATCGCTCCAGCTATTGCTGATCACTCATGGGTGCCAGCAACCAGGTGGTGACCCAAAGCCCAGGTTGTACAGCTTGGGCCCAAGAGCCAGGATGATCAGACTAGAGGGACGCTCATGGGTAAAGGGCAGCCTGCCGAGTGAAGGGGACTTTGACCCCAGGGATGCCCCCTCAAGTTGAACAGTCATGTACTAGGTGGGAAATGGGGAGAGCGGTGGCATTTAGAGACAGAGGACAACAGACGAGAGGTGGGATGGACTCCACAGAAGCCCAAAGGGATGGGCCAATCCAGAAGCCCAGGCCTCCAGTCAGGTTCAAAGTTGAGGAAAGAGTGATGGCAATGAGTGCCAACAACAACAGTAATAGTAACCACAGGCATTACTGCTACAATGTCGAAGGTTTGTGCGGGATTGGTGCTAAGTGCGTCATCTGCATCATCTCTTCATCCTCCCGGCACCCACGTGGGGCAGGCACATCATCGAGCTGCATCCACCCAGGCAGGGTTAGCTTCGAAGTCAGCATATGAAGAAAAAAGAACGACATGGGCAAAATGACCCTGGAAATTTAGTAAGTTGCTCGTGACATATGGGACAAATGGATACTCGTCCTTCTTCCAATAAATCCAGCACAGTCTGTTTTGTTCTCCAGTGTTGGAATACATCACTGAGTTGCTGGGTGAGTCCCCAGTGAAGTTATTGACTTCTGTTTTGTGGTCAAGATGTTTGAAAATTCCTTCCTTCCTTCCTCCCTCCCATCCTTCCTTCCTCCCTCCTGTCCTTCCTTCCTTCCTCCCTCCCTCCCATCCTTTTTTTTCTTTTTCTTTCTCTCTTCTAAATCAAGATGTTAATTGAATTCGCCCAAGTTAAGCGCATAATTGATGCAATTCCAGTATACAGTATTACTCATATTTTACAGATGAAAACTTTTATCATTAATAATAATAGTAAGAGCTCAGTAAAGCTTTGTATGTTCTATAAATCCTTGTCTGATTTAGACTTCACAGCCACTCTCTGAAGTGGGCACTACTACTATGCCCATTTCATAGATGAGGAATTTGAGGTTTGGAGAAGTTTCATGACTTTGACCAGGTCAGCCTACAGCTAGGAAATGGGGAGTGGGGACTCAAACCCAGGTACTCTCCAGAGCACATTGGACAAGGCAGTATCATCATTCGGGAGCCATCCCTACCCCAAGCTTCTTCAGTATGGGGTCAGCCTCCTCCTCACCAGCAGGGAGGGGGAAACTTCCACGCTCCCACGTTCAACCAATACAGGACTGCTGGGTCATCGTTAGGTGGAGAGTGATGGTGGAGGCAGTGGGGGTCTGAACCTGAGAGAACAGCCTGCTCTGGGAGGAGGTGCCTCTAGCTCCACCCTGGGGGCTCTTTAGCTCTCAGCAGCCCTGGGCTGTGCTCACTGAGGCCTGTGTCCTTCTGCCTCTGCCAGGAACAGCTGAGTCCCCCGTTGCTGTTGGGCCTGTGGTTCTCAGCACAGCTGAGACTCTGCATTGAGCTTCAGGTGTCAATTTATAACACCAAAGCCTCCTCTGGTTTGAGCAGAGAGGGGGGCCTGGAAACTGCCCCAGAGTGGAGGGGGCCTGTACTGCCGTCTCCTGATTCTATCATGAATTCAGTAGCGCCTTCAATTACACATGCATTTAATTAATCAAAAAGCCTTCACAGACATTTGAAAAATTCCTTTGCACTAGCAATGATGATAATAACAACTGTCAGCACTGACTGAGCTCTTCCTGTGAATTCCAGGTCAGACTCGTTCACCAGGGGAAGCAGGTTCACTGGGAGGCGCGCCTGGCAGAATCCCGAGGCTCATGGGGCCACCCACACCCCCAGCCGGCCCCAGAGAGGCCCTGACCCACCCCCTCTCCCCACAGGCTTCTCAAACCTCTCTCTGGGGGACCAGATGAGCCTGCTGCAGAGTGCCTGGATGGAGATCCTCATCCTGGGCATCGTGTACCGCTCGCTGCCCTATGACGACAAGCTGGTGTACGCCGAGGACTACATCATGGACGAGGAGCACTCCCGCCTAGCGGGGCTGCTCGAGCTCTATCGGGCCATCCTGCAGCTAGTACGCAGGTACAAGAAGCTCAAGGTGGAGAAGGAAGAGTTTGTGACGCTCAAGGCCCTGGCCCTTGCCAACTCAGGTAAGGGCAGGTGGAGGGGGGCTCAGAGGGCGGAGATGAGGGAGGTCTGCCGGGGCTTGGGGAGCATGGCTCTGGGGCCTGTGAGTGGGGCCAGCTGCCAGGGCTGGAGATGATGTGAAGACACTGGAGCTTCTTGTCACCAAAGACTGGAGCTCAATGAGATGGCAGTGATGGCTAGCATTGGTTGAGTGTTATTTACTAAGCCCTTGATTTGCTGGGCACCAAGCTAGACCCTTGAGACTCCGGGGCCACGCTGCTGGGGTCAAATCCTACTTCTGCCACTTGGGCAAGTTGTTTCATGCTGTGCCTGAGTTTCTTCATCAGTACTCCACAAGGTTATTGAGGGGATTTATTTATACATAATTATAGGATGCTTACAACACGACTGGCACATAGTAAGTGCTCAGTAAATGTTAGCTATGAACTTATTTGGAGTCCCTGAGTGGTGCATATGGTTAACACTCTCGGTTGCTAACCAAAAGGTTGGAGGTTCAAGTCCATCAGTGACACCTTGGAAGAAAAGCCTGGCAGTCTACTTCTGAAAAATGAGTCATTGAAAACCCTATCGAGCTCAGTTCTACTCTGACACACATGGGGTCGCCGTAAGTCGGAATCGACTTGATGGCAACTGGTATGAACTTATTTAATTCTTACAAACAACCTTATGAGCGACATACTATTATTTTAACCCCATTTTACAGATGTGCAAACTAAGGCTCCGAAAGGAAGCAAATTACTCAGGGTCACACAATTAAAAAGTGTCAGAGCTAGGACTCAAACCAAAGTGATCTGATTTCAAAATCAACCTGAGCTTATACCTACTCCTTGATTTTCGCAATTGAATTGCTCAGGCACAAGAGGGAAAATCTTCCCATCTGAGTTATTTAGTCTGGTGTTAAAAAAGAGGCCTCTCTCTATTTCTTCAGCACCTGTCAACTTCTGGCTAGATTATCTGGGGAGAGGGGCTGGGCACTGGGCAATGCAGGTGCCTGAGCTTGAATTTAGTGGATGTCCACACCTAGAAGCGCCCACCGTCTGCAGGGCGCTGTGCTGGAGCTGGAGGAATGCAGAAGGAGGAGAAAGCCAGGATTCCTGTCCTGAAGAGTGTGTGTCAGGAATGCACACAAACAGTTCTGCTGCAGGGCAGGGGGTGGTGGAGTTCACTGCTCAGACCTGGGGTCAGATGGACCCAAATTCAGATTCGAGCTCTGACACTAGTACTGTGGCCTTGGCCAAGTTGGCTCCATGTGCTTGTGTGTAAAATGGGGATATTCCAAAATCTCCTCCAAGGACTTCTGTGAGTATTCAGTAATAGGCTGAAGATAAAGCAGTTAGCCCAGTGCCTGGCGGAAATGTTCAATAAATATTAATTATTATCATTATTAATATTAGAGGAAACATAGTATTAGCATATGGAAGAGGGAGAGCTGGCTCTCAGTTGGAGACAGTACAAATAGGGTAGCCAGCTGGTTTGCCCTGTGCTGCCCTGTTTTTAGTACATCCTTCGGTCTCTGGGAAACCAGGACGGCTGGTCCCCTAACAAACAGCTTTGTGGAGAGTGTAGGGATGCTGCTGATGCCCTGCTCAGATCCTCTTTACTGGGCTTGTGCATCCATCCCCCAGTGCTGAGCTTTGCTGCCAACAGCTCACAGCTGCACCTTCTCCAGAGACTTACTCACAGCTGCCTTGCCCAGAGGGTTCTGGGCCCCCATAACCCTCAGCACCTTTAGCCAACGGAGAGACCCACACTGGGAACAAAAGGCCAAGTTTCTTGTGCAGAGTTCTGCAGAGGATCAGGCTGAAGCTGAGGCGGCACCCCAGCCTCGCTTGCTCCTTCCCTGCCCTGTCCTGCTTCCCTCATGCCCTTTTCCTAGGATCACGCCCTCAATACACCCCATGCACCCGAACCCCTGCCTCAGGCTCTGCTCCTGGGGAAGCTGACCGAACCCAGAGAAGGATGCTTCTTTTTTTTTGGTCCAAATCCTTTTACCAAACAATAAATGAGTACAAAATGAAAATTAAAACCTTACATGCTTCTGTAGAGACCATTTAGATCTTAGGATTCCAAAATTGTAATGCATTTGTTGTTGGAGAGTGCTAATGCTAAGTTGTTTTTTTTTTTTTTTTTTTTTT